CAGATGCCTTTTGTTTTTAAGGTTCCTAGTGAGTTTTTAGAGGGGCTTTCTGTTACGTTGATTAGTCCCAGGTTTGTTTTCATCCTCGGGAATGTGATACTCGTCGTTCTGTTGATGCAATCTGGACAGTTTGCGGCCAAAGATGTCCACAAAAACAGTAACAAGATTGATTTTTACGACGAATATATGAAAAATTGCAGAAAGAATCAGCAGAAACAGCAAATCAGCAGCACTCATGAAGGGAGAAAAGCCACTTCTATTTCCAGGGAAAGGAAGATCCAAAGGTCTCACTCAGAGAACCTGGAAAGGCAGCACCAAGAGGAGCCTCACCGCCATGAATTGAAGCGATCAACGACAGAAACATGCCGGAAAAGTGTAAATCATAGGCATAGTCCTATCTATCAGACGAGAAAACTCGTGTTGGAAAGTAAGAAACAGATGGATGCTTCCTATGCTGAGGATGAAATGAGCAGTGAAGAATTTAGACGCACTGTTGAGGCCTTCATTGCCCGGCAGCAAAGGATTTTGAGGGAACAAGAAATTCCCAATGTTTTTCCCTATGAAAAATGATTAGATCTCGTGAATCCCCTTTTTTTCTTCCTCATCTCAAAACTAAAAAACAAAAAAGTTGTAAGAAAGATTTATTCCTGATGTGATTGTGTACAATATTAGATCAGAATCATGGGAGTTTTTGATTAATGTTTTAGCTACCCTCTTTCAATATTAATTTTCCCAATATCATTAAAACCCAAGCTACGATGGTTACTCGAGCTCTCGTTAGCAACTCTTTGATTGAACAATTTTTTCGCCAAAAGATAGCGTGTGAGTGAAATATTGTTTTCATGAGGACCAAGTACTCTAACGAACAATTAAGAGACGTTTATCAACTCTGTCTACGACCAAGTACTCTAACGAACAATTAAGAGACGTTTATCAACTCGATTAAGACGGGCACTAGGATTTCAAATCCTCTTTTATTATTCCCATTTAACAAGAATTCAAGATCATAACTACACTTGATGATCATTGTACCTATTTCATTTAGTAGTCTTTCTCGAGTAATACTAAGCATATCCTCGCATGTGAACCTGCAATATCTATGTGACATCATGCAATGCGTACGAGTATATCTCTATTTCCTATCGGACCGTAAATGCTGTAATTTTTATTCTTTCTCTTGATTAAACAAAGATTACAAATCATTAGCTGATCAACTAATTCAAAGTATTATAATAAAACAATAATTCGAGATAAACAATATTAACATCATAGTGTTGAAATTGAAATTAAAACATCATAATAAAATGTTCATCTTCATCCTAGCGATTATAAATTTAGGCAAATATAATAAAGTTACAATAATACATGATTAAATAATGAGACATCACACAAATTTTAATTGTTGAAAGAAAAAGAGGGAATGCCATGAACTTTCAAAAAAATTTCAACGATTCTTGAAAATTTCCTTTTACCTTCTTCTTCTTCTTCTTCTTTGCCGAAAATTCAAGATATAATCCTCAATTTGCATATATGAATGTGTATTCTTGTATCTTGCCTCTGGTTCTCTCTAAGGGTTCGTGTCCCATTTTTCAGAGCCAAAGTTCTGAATTTTATTCCAAATAGAACTTGAGTCGAAAACAGAAACATAATTTTCTTTATTGGAACGAACCATGTTACTCTGGACGAATTCAGATTGTGAAGGGCCATATTCGATTGGACAAATGGGGCTTACCTTCCACCACATTGGTTAAGTGATTTGCAAATGTAAAGTTTATTCCTTTATACTTGGTTAATCATTAGGGTCCTTTTCATTTTGCTACTAACGTTTGTTTATGTCAATAAATTGAATATCTTAGACTTGGCTTTTTGATATTAGACATTTTGTATAAACAAAATAAAACACATCGGAAAATGTTAAAATACTATAGTTATCATTTTCCCTTTAGGGAGATCGTACACGTACATAAGTGCATACATTCTCTGATGTACAAGTATCATTTTCCCTTTATAAAGGAGATGCTACTCGTACATAAAGGTGTACACCTGCGTTTACAACTTGTGCACAGCGTACACCCCGGGGTGTACAAGTATCATTTTCCCTTCATAATAACATTCAAAAAATGCTATAATAGAGGTCAGACATTTAATGACTACACTTATATAAATCAGTTCATAAGGCATCGAGTAGAAAGGACCTTTAACTTAAATTAAAATCAAATTTTAATCCGACCCAAATAGGTCCTAAATTTTAAATAGATATAGTGATTGATAAATAGATAATACTTATCGATCTACTAAATGACGCAGTTATATTGTCATTCGACCGTTTATAAATATTAGCCCAACATACAATCATTAAGCCCATGTTTGATTCACATTACTTTTTTCATTTTTATTCTTCTACTCATTTTCAACCACATATTTTTCAATAAAATAGTATTTTTCATCACGCTAATAATTTTTCCTTCTTTTTCAACCACATATTCTCCATCACATCAATTCAAAAAAATACATTCTCTCATTTTAATGTGCACAAAAAGTCATTATTGAGTTCTGAAACTCGACAATAGTACTCAACAAAAATGCAATACTGAAGAATTAGTTTCTATTCATTATTTAATACTGTCTAGTATTGCCTGGTCAAATTTACCAAAAATGTTAGAGATCATATAACAATGCAATAATGGATATGATTTACACCTTAGTTGATTCTCATTATTTTCAAAATATATTTTTCTTTCTTCTTTTCAACTACACATTCTTCGTTAAAATAATATTACCCGTAAATCCAAATTTTTTCTTATTTTTTAACCGCACATTCTCTATTAATTTACTATTTCAAAATACATTCTTAGCCGAAAAAAATGGAACACAAATAGACGCTTAGTTGTTATATATTTTTTTAACAATGTCCAATACTATTCAATTTATTTAATTTACCAAACATGTCATTTGAAACTAATCAGTAAATTTTGACATCAACGTGATGTAATCCTTCGATCAACTTAATTTCATACCAAACACTCCTTAGCAAAAGAAATCTCGAATTATCCATTACTTACATACAAATGATTCTACCCAGTCAATTATTAAAAACCAACTAGTTTTCACTTTCATGTCTCCTTATCCTCACTTTTAAAAGTAAACAAAGGTTGCTTTTTAAGAACTAGAAAGGCAAAATAATTTACTCCACATTTAGTAGTTTAAATAATTTTTTTTGAAGAAGATGCTTCATAATTAATTTATATTTTATGTATAGTTTAGTTTAAGTGCTTGGAAAGGCATGTTTGCCACTTATAATTCTTGGATAATCTAATTAAGTTAAGTGCAGATTTGAACTTAAAGAGCTGCCCGAATATGCCCAGTCATTTCCAAATTTTCGAGGATATGCCGAGAATCGAGATGCTTAATGCTGACCATTGGCATCAGGAACAAATAAATAAATAAAATTGTTAAAGTTATTTACTTAATTATTTTTTTATATGTTGGTTAATGCTTTTTATTTAAGCGATCTGGGATTTATCCCTTAACACATCCTGCAAAATGATGGCTCGTTTAAGCATACTAATTTTAGTATTCGATTCTTGTTCGAGTTTAGATAAATTGAATTGCTTGTTCGAGTTGCATAATTACAAAATATACAAATTCTTGTCTCAACCCAAATTTTTCTCTTCACACAATCCTTCTGAGTAGTGTACATAATAAACTTAAAATTCACTACATGAGTATTGTTTTGATTTATTATACACCTAATCAAACTTCTAATGCAGCATGTCATAATTCATATAAATAAAAATCTCTTTATACATGCACAAGCCATAGCCAATAACCTAAATTATTGTTCCTTTAATTTTCTCAAGAAGTGTTATCATCTCTCATATTTCTCATTTCGCCCCTGTTTAACCCCCATTATATTACATTCCATTATTTTTCTAAAAATTATTTACCCCCCATAAATTTAATTTATTGGGGGGTAAATAGTGGCTTCTTTTCCCAATAACCATTCTTGTTCCAATCTAACCCAGCTGGCGAGCAATCCTAGTTTGCGACAGAGAAGAAGACAACAAGCGAGTGTACCTTTGTTCGCTTCTTCTCCACCAAGTACAAAAGTTTAAGGAAATGAGGAACGAGGAGATCGATTTGGGATTGGAGGGTCTGAGTTTCTCCAGGATGGAACCAAAGCAAAAGGAATTGGTGAACTCGAAACTTTTTGAAACTCGGCTCTTTATGATATCGATTTTTTGTTAGTGGCTCTTGATCATGTGGAACTCAGACGAACAAGATGGAGAAGGCAGGAAAGTGTCGACACTAGTAGGACATGATAAGTTTGTGCTTTTCAAATGTCAAGGGAAGGACATAAACGAAGGTCCGACAAAAAGTGCAAGAATGCCATTTGATTCTCGAGCTTCATCGTCAAAAGAGAATATAGATGAATAATGCTACATATACATCAATCATAACAACTTGGTTGACATTCTCCCTGTGGAGGAAATCATGTGATAGACAAGTTCAAAATTAAGAGGGTAGATATTGCCACGGAAAAGAGTATAAAAAAAGGAACAAGGAAAAGTGTAAATGTAGCAAGGTTGAACATAGATATCTATATGAACCTAAATAAGACGGATTTACATAATTTTGAGATGAAGTGCCTATAGTTTCTTCTCTGTTATATTAGACTTCTTTAGAATAATGCTACTTTGCCAAAAAGTAGGTGACGAATAGAATTACAAAATAGGTGTTGGCAAGTTGTAATTAGATGAAAAGGCTAACTATGTTTTAAATAATCCAATAATAGGTTGTCACGTGACTTTATGTCAACCATTATGCCTATGTAGCATGGTTGTTTTATTATAACTTGTGTAAATGTTATTCTCAGTCACCAAAAATATTCAATGCACAATAAAAATGAGCATAGGGATAATAAAGTCAAGCACTCTTACATCCAAGATTCTTACCCTGCACTATGAAAATGGTGAATGACTCCTAAAGGGTACAATAACTTATAGGCCCTCAAAAAATCTTAAGTGGTCATCAAATGTCTCCCCGAGCCGAATTTGGGATACTGATCCATCCTCTTCGACCTGGAAGAAAAAAAAATCACTCATCACATCTATTAAGGAACAACTCAATGCAATAGGGCTTAATCGGACAATGCACAAAGAACTATAGCCATGGATTTTCAGCTCCTGTAATGTAAATGTTGAATAGAATGGAGTTGGTTTTGTAATTTGTGTATAAACACTGCATATATATGAAAAATAAGAAGTGGGATAGACAAGAAAGAAACTAAGAACGTTTTTTATACTTTCTAGTCGAAAAAGAAAGAACGTGATTGAAAAGAGAAAGGGATGTGAAAGTATTGGTCAGTTATCGTGTCTAATCATGTTTAGTCTAATGTATGCATTCCCGTCCCACCCACCCACAAAAAGCACACAAATCATAATCCACTAACACGCACTCAAAAGGGCCAACACTATGAAGGGCATCAAATGAATCAATCAACACCACATTATTTCATGAAAATTGAGTGGTTCGGTATAGTCTTCAAGGATTAACTAGCTAAATATGAAAAATATACAAGACGGCAGCTAAACTATGTTAAGAAAAGAAATCACTTAAAGGACCTCCCCTGGACAAAAATAGGTCACTAACCCAATATTCTGGTGGACGCATCTTGAGATTGTATGTTGAAGCCATACTCATGCAGTATGCACCTGCATCATGAACTACAAGGCCAGCCCCCTGAAAAAGCAAATGTTAAATAGAGTACAATGATAATATTGTCCAGGCTTTTTGTGTAGAGGTTAGGGAGCCATTACACTCGTTGGCGTTGGTAGTTCTCTGTCCTTCCCCAAGAAATCTGCTGATTCACAAACGGGACCCACGACATCAAAAGTGGAAATCTCGGCATCTGGTGACGAGGGAGAAACCAGCTCTATGTGCTGCAATTAAAACTCATTCAGTTCAGTGAAACTCTTTAGAATATTCATATTTGCAAGACAAACAATATATAGAAATTGAAACCTTTAAGAGGTGGATCAATTTACTTTTTGTGAGATTTTAGCATTGCATTAGAGAACAAGCTGATTGAACCTTTTTGCTCAAAAAGAAATATTAAGTCCCTGTTTGGTGTAGCTTAAATAGTTGGATTAAAATTTAAGTTAAAGTCAACAATGAATTTTAACCACATTTTATGGGTCCCACAACTTTTATCAACTTTTTAACCACACATTTATCCACTTTTATCAAAAATTACTAAATATCTGATTTTTAACTACACCGAACATGGGCTAAATAAACCTTGATATATCATAAATTACAGTAAGTGCATGTTTGGTACACATTACTAGACCCTACACTGAAAAAGATTTAAGCTTATTTATCTTTTTTAGTGTCCAATGTTATTCAATCCACGCTATCAAACATGCCATAATGGCGAACCATTGACTTCATGATGTTTTCTTGGTTTATAAAACATTGGTTTGATTGACATACAAGTCATCATGTGGAGGACAAAAATGGGAAAAACTGAAATAGAAGTTCGCTATTGTCTTGCAACAATGAAGAAAATTATATGGTATAAGTTATGCACAAATTACAGAAGAAAGGAAAAAACATTTAGATGCTATATATTCCCTATTAATATGCACAGAAACGTTTGCAAGTAATAAAAATCTTACCTGATAGGCTCCATACAAACTTGGACGAATAAGTTCCGCCATGCTGCCATCAATGACAACAAAATTTTTGGTCCCATTGGTTTTGACTCCAGTGACACGATTGACCAAGCAGCAAGTATTTGCAATAAGTGATCTTCCAGGTTCAATAATTAGATTAAGATTCCGTGAAAGAACCAACTCCCGAACCTACAGAAAACATCCATGAAATGATGATATGAACCTGGGCAATGTTTTGCGTCTCGACTCTCACTCAATGTGTCCAGAAGCCAGTAAGATTGATTCCCAAACACAGCCTCATTTCCATCAAAAGAGAACCCAATCCAGTCATATCATCATCTTGGCTAAAGGAAAACAAACAAAAGAAAGAACTCCAACATTCAAAGAATTCAGCCAACAAAGAGAGAATGAGCCCAGATGAAAAATCTGCAGTTGACACATTTCCAGTTATATTATGCCATTCGATTCTATGAACAAACAAATCGCTTTGCAATACAACTATAGAGTGGAGAATAAAAATTGTCCACGTCCCAGAGGCAATGCCAGCATGCAGAATCCACTTTTCATATTAGTGAAACATTCAACAGTGAATAGGTCAGAATTCCAAGCAAACACTACTAAGTCTGAACCAGGTTAGAAGTCAGACCCCACTGCTGCCCTTTCTGACAATACGGAAGACAGGTGGCCAAACATTTTGTAACCTCTCCTCTTCTTTCAATTTTGAGTTTTCTTTTCTTTTTCTTTTTTGGTCTAGACTCACTGTGTGCATGTCAAAAGAGACGCACATCTGACCATTAAAAATATATAGAGAAATGAGGCACAGATATTTGCATATCAGACATGTATATCATCACGTCCCTCAGGCGTATCCAGGCATCTGAAAGGTGGCCTAATATGTCTGTGCTTCATGGAGGGCAACTAACTATAGAGACTCACCCCTCCAGATGTGCATTCCTAAAAAACTTGGGAGAGTGCAGAAGTAATTGTGCCGAATGAAGGATCCCACTGATTTAAATGCCATGAAGTATCAAGTAGGATACAACTGAAGTTATAGTACTTACAGTATCAATAAGATCTCTAGGAGTGGGAAGGACAGCTCCGGTATGATAATAATCAATTCCTAGACCACCTCCAATGTTTAAGTAATCAATTTCAAAGCCCTGTGCTCGAATTTCATCGATGTAGTTCACCATAAGGACTGCAGCATCTCTGAAAATGTCCACCTGGAACAACAATCAATTCTTATCATGTATTATTATTCAACAATCTTAAAGTAGTAAGTTAAATGCAGATATGCATAAGCTTTTTGATTGTCAACAGTAAGAACTATGTGCATTGTGCACAAAAGAAGCTGAGAATATGTATAAGTAATAACAGAAGACAAAAAAGAGATACACAGCTTAATTTTCCTTTCTCCAGAAAGACAAGAGAGGTTTATGCAAAAATAGTAAATGAAAACATCAAAAGTACAACTTTTTCTCTTTAGGAAACAGATAATGATGCATAGATCAGAAGGAAATGTCCACAAACAAAGAAGGGCTTGGTTTGATTGGTTAAATGCTACAGCCAGAGTTGCTCCGTGATGTGCATTTGGAAAGGAAAAAAAAATAAATATTTTTCTTCTTCTTCTTTTTTTTTTTTCAATTCCTTGGCTTAAGAGTTTGGATAAGCAGATAGTTGCAATTCAGAAGCATGGATCTAAACACGTGCACAATTAATAACTTAAAACTAAACATAAAAAATCTAGCGAGTGAAAAATAGTTCGTTCAGGTATCAGTTTAAAAAATAAAATAGCAGAGTTACAAATTCATATTCATAAGGAACAACTGAGCCTAAAAAGCTAATTTAAAGAAGAATACCTTTGTAATGGTAGAGCCAAGATGACAGTGAGCACCGACAAGCTTCAGTTCTTGAGGATGTGCCTTCACGGCATCTAGAAACCACTGTAGCTTCTCATTTCGAATACCAAATTTGGAGTTCTTGTTCCCAGTGGCAACATATGGATGGACCTAATTCACAAAAGCATTAGATTTAAACTGATAATTACATTCCATTACGAGTAATGCAGTAAAATAAGGTTTTTGCAAGTCCACAGCTGCAAATCTGACAAGGATCTAATCTGGAAGCAAGCATACAAATCCATAATGAAGTCAGCAATGGTGGTCAAAAAAAAATGTGGCAATGGTTGAGTCAGGCTAATTAGAATAAAAATGTCTTTCTGGAAAAGGAATTACCAATGTGAAATTGAAACATTCTCTTCTCAAGTTGAAAATGATGATGTGTACAAGGCATAAAAGTGTAACATTGGTAGTTAAACCGAATTTTGCTCTCTCTCCACACAGCCAGGGGAGGGAGCATTAGAGATGGTACGATGGCTAAATTAATTAGATTATTTATTCTTTTCTTTATTAGAATGGAGAAATAAGTTTATTAAAATTAAAGTTCTACCACAAATTCAACTAGTACACCGTTATTTGTATGTTCAAAGCAATAAGCTAATTTTACCAGTCTGAAATTTGGCTTCTTAGTGTTATCTTTCAGATTTAAAATCACCAAGGGAATAAACACTTCAATAGTTTAAACCAAATTTAATTTAATTATAACAGCATGACTCTTCTTCGTACGGTTATTCATCCCTACACATAAAGGAGGGTGCAAGTAAATAAGTAACAGCTTGACCATATAACACCATATTAACTCTGGGTCCTCGACTGCTAAAAAATATAGAAGTGCAACATATTAATTTCACAGTTGATATGAAACCACACTTAATACCTGAGGATCTACATCTGGATTAATTCGTAGTAGCACATTTACTTTCTTCCCAGCAATTCTTGCTGCAGCTACAATGTTTTCCAGATCAAATTCGCTATCAATATTTACAAAAACACCTTCTTGCGCGGCTAGGACTAGATCCTCCAAGATTTTTCCATTCCCATTGAAGACACACCTGCCACAAGATATGGATATATCACCTTTCATGCTGAAGAGAGCATCATACATCATGACTTCAGCAAAATTAAGATAAGAAACTCAAAACTAGATCAAGCGTCAAATAGCAGGATGCAGGCCTAGTGTATGAAGCCATGTTGACTAATTTAAAACAACTTTTACATGTGCACCCGCAAATCTGAGAGGACAATATTTGGTTATCGAATTTGTTTGAAAAATTGGCATCATTCCCTTATATTCAAAAATGTTGACAGAGTCAACAAAATTATAGGAAACAATAGTAGACATTGTATAGAAAAATGCAAGAGTGATAGAAGTTGCTCCATTTGCAAGAAACGGACTCTCCAAACATTTTTTTTTTTTCCTTTTTCATGGGAAAATCACGACAATGCAAATTACGTTCTCAGGATGGGATTGCTGAGATGAAGATTGCCATTGGAAGAAATGGTGAACTTGTTGTTCTGGATGAAAATTTTGGTCACTCTGTCTCCGAGGCCATTCAAATGCATTTTTTAAGATGGGGAACAATCCTTGGGCTCTCACCCAAATAAGTTTCTTTACACTGGACATTGAACTCCTTTTACTTTCTGTCATTATTTTCTCTCTTATGAGTGGGCACTAAGAGTATAGGCTACATGATAGAATATAAAGGGAGGAAGAAGGGGAGGGAGAGTAGGGGATACACAGAGTTTCTAAACCTGATCATTGGAAAAAACAATGTAATTCAGAAAATGGGGAGTTATATGCTGTAAATCTTGGGAAATTTTAGAAATTCTAAAGAAGAACAGTTTAACAAGGTGTTTTCTGTATTCTCTGTGTTACTTGTGCCACTTCTGAAACCTCGGCTGTTTTTCTCTTCTATTGTGATCATGTTTCTCCTTTTCAGTGGCACACTTGAGATCTACTGTTCAAAGGACATTAAAAAATCAAAGGGATCCTTGGGCTGTGCACATTATTAGAGAAGGTTGATTCTTTGTTATTTGCAAACTAATCCTGTTAGGCATCTTATAACTTAGCTGGAAATTTGATAGCATGTTTTCTTTGGACTTTTGGATTTATCTTGAAACATTTACCTTTCAGCCTGAAACTTATCTGCGATACCCTTGCAGAGAGGGCTACTATAGCCAACAGTCATTGGCAGGGGAATACTACAGCTTGGAAGATGTAGGGCTCGACAAAAATACTGCTCTACTGTTTTCATCAATGTTTCTTCTACTTAAAAATCAGATCCCTCTGGAGGAAATCCACAATCATACATACAGTTTTTTAGGAGGGATGTGGAGAATATCCATAAGCGCTTCTAAAAGTTTAGCTTCCCACTTTTGTGCTAGGACACTCTAAATGTGTTGGGTTTCTCGTTTTTACAACTTTCGCATTTTAAGATGTTTAAGCTGGCCTCTGATAAAAATGTTCACATATCATATTTGTTTTCTACATAACAATTAATCTGTTTATCTAACGGTAGCTTAAATAAAACTGTTGGTAGCCCTAATCCAATTGTTTAGTGCAGTTACCAGAGCTTTGATGGCCACAAAAAGGTCAGAGTGACTTTACCGAATTTATAAGGAAAAAAATCTCAATGACAGATTTGTATTTTTTAAATAAACATAATGTCTTCAATAAGTTTTATAACATACCAATTTTTATGACAAACAAATGCTTAAAGAAAGTACATACTAATAGAAATTCCCGTGAAGTTTTTGACAGTATTTTTGCACCAGTTACTGCTAATTAGAATAAGCAATATTCCTAAATATGCAGTATGGACATGCACCAGAAAATTATCTAAATTTAGAAAAATATTATAACAAAAATAAAGAATAATTCTCTAAACCCATTCTCGCCTTTTCCACCCCATATCAACATATCAAACTAAAATTACATTTCAATGCACTTCAACAAGTACAAAGGTGAAAATCTTGAAATTATACTACATCACAAACTCAAATAAATAATCAAATTATGAACTAAATACATAAATTAACCAGTGCATAATTTTAATACCTTGTGGGATCAAAACCAGCATGGAGAGCCAACTTGAGTTCATTCCCACTGACCAAAACAGCCCCACATCCCAATTTTCTCAAATGCTCCAAAATCTTAAGATTGTTATTGGCCTTAATAGCATAACCAATTATTGAATTCAAACCCTCCAAAGCCTCTTTATATGCCTCAACATTCCTAGTAATTTGCGGCTTACTGTAGAGATAAAAAGGCCTCTTTTCCACAGTATCCATAACATCCTGAACCTTATTTCCCTCACAATACAAATACCCATCTTCAGATTTAGTGAAACAGTGCCAAATCTTCTGGGTTTGGGGCTCGGCAGTGGACAGAACTGCCTTTACGCTCAGAGAGGCGAGTCTTGAAGTGAGCTTGAGTTCGAAGGGTAAAATGGGTTTTATGGGAAACCGATTTAATGGAATTTTCAGGGATTTTGTGGGATGGATTGTTGTGGTTTGACAGAGGAGGTTTGTAGCCGCCATTGTTGGAGCTCAAGTGTAGAAAATGCAACGGACAGCGGTCAATGTGTACGGTGAGCGTTATATAACATTGAACGGACATATCAGTCAAAGGTTTATTAGGTTTTTGGGGTTGGGGTAGGTGGAGAGTAGGAGTGGGAAGTGGGTCATGCGACTCGACTCACCTACTGCCAGCACCAGGCGAGTCGACTTGCACTCGCATATGGAGAGTGTGGACTCGCTACAGGAAAAGTTAAATCAATATAATTTTAACCACAGTACATTCTTCCTCGTATTCTATCATTCTTCCTCGTAATAAGAATATATTTGTTTCAAATGTAAAATTTAAATTAGTTCGAAGTAATTGAAAGCAATGTTTAGTTCCACATAATTTGAGACGGGGGATCGAACACTGCAACTATGTAAAAAATAATTGGTACGCAACGAAAAATAGTTTTTGATGTGTTTTCTTTCGCGATGCATACTCGGCTAACTAAGAATCCTCACCCCTTCATTATAAGAAGTTTAAAGAAATATTTAACAATGGAGGTATAACATGATTTAAATTGAGAAAAGGAGATTGACGTTGCATGGAAAAAGAAAATAATGTTTAACAAAGTATAAAACAAAGTATAGTTATTTCATTTCTATAACAAATCAAAGTTCCTAAACTATTATAATTTTGTTCAAGTTCTATGTGAAAAGAAAATTGAATTACTTTAATACTATATTGGGGAATGTGAGGAAAATCGATGAAAGCGATGTTTACGTTTTGTATTTTTTATTTTGCATTTGAAATACCTTTCAATATATGATCACCAGATTGTATCATAGACTGTATACACTTAACATAACAATTATATTCAAACGACTTATCAGAATAAAAAGAAAGAATTAATTACTGCAAATGCCCAAAAATAGCATTATTAATCATGCATCTTGTAAAAGATACACTATACGTTATTAATTAAATTAAAATATTATAAATAACTGTGCAACGCGATGAATATATTCATCTATTGCAATGTGTTTAAAAGAAAAAATAAAAATAAAAAAATCACAAGAGTCAAATTATCATTGTTAAGATATAGCCCCTCTTTGATTTCGATAAAATCAAAATTTTAGTAAATTTTAATAAAAGTTGATAGAATGTATGATTAAAAAGTCACATAAAATGTGGTTAAAATTAACTGTAATTTAGATTTTCATTCATTTTTCTAATGAACCAAACAGAGGCATAATGATAATGATACTAAATATACTTATTGATTACTACCAATACATAGCATCAAAAGTTAAAGAAATGCTATATCTGTAGTTTATTAAGAATAATTTAGGGGTTGTTCTCTTTGTGTTTCAATTTTGAGTTTTGAATTCATTTTGTATTTTGAATGTCTGTTTTGAAATTGTTGAAAATGCGTTCTTTTTACCTTTTTTTTCTAAACAGGCAAAATCCTTCTTGACCGTAGACGAGGAAACAGAAGAAGATAATGTGTGAATCGGAAATAAAAATTAGTCGCAACAAAGCATAGTCATGCCCTGTTTGAATCCAGGATTCCTAGTAAAAGGAAATGCATCTCCTGATGTGGGTTTCAATGGTTTACATAAGATACAAGAATGGGAAAACATAATTATAGCAGACATTTCCATCGCTTTGTCTCTTAATAACACATTCAATAATATACCTAAAATTTAAAATGTACCAAAAAAAAAAAAATCTCAGTACAAACCGCAAATCAATTCAACCAAGCATTCTTATTTTTGGTTTTCTTCAATTTATCTACCAAATTAACTATTGAAATTATATCACATAAAACATTTTCTTGCAACCTCTCTCTGTATCACATCAACTAACTTCATCTTATATCCAAAAACTATGATACAGTGGTTGTCGAATGTGAGAACCAGTAACAATCCTTTGATTGCAACCATTTCCATCCTTGATTGAACAACCCAATATCCTCCATCACTTAAATAACCCTTCAAAATCATGATCACCAAGCAGTAACAATCCTTTGATTGCAGCCATTTCCATCCTTGATTGAACAACCCAATATCCTCTATCACTTAAATAACCTTTCAAATTCCTGATCACCAATCAGCTACAACAAAAATTCATATAAGGCAAATCCCGCAATAACAAAAATCAATATTTCATCAAAATTCCCTAAATTCTGCTATTGATAACCTTTAACCAGAGATGGGATAAGTCCATATCTTCAAAAGAATTATGCTATGTCATTGAGTTCCATACTTATAAAGTTAGATTTTGATCTAACTTAACTTCCACCATCTAGAGCCACGAGTAACAATTCCAGTTAATGAATTCACATCAACACTTGCCTGATATAATTGGTTTTCTGATTGAAAAAATGATTTCACAATTTTCAGGGACTACTCCAACAAGATCAGTCGATTCCGGATGAAATTGAAGTTGACCCATGGTAGAACTAGATGCGCCTGGTTGAGAGAAACGTTGTGGTGGTGCTCCACAATCAAGAGGGTGGCCGGATGTCGAAGTAATGGGGGGAAATGCGCTCGCGATTTTGGGTGAGAATTGGAGCTGTTTCCGGCCGTCTGGTGAGCGGTGATGGTCGGAGGTTGTAGAGGGAGGTGAGGGGGTGCCGGTGGTGTGGGGTCCGGTAGCTTAGGTAGCGAGTGGTGGAAGTAATTGATAGAAGGAGGTGGCAGATCGATAGCTCAAGAAAGAGGAAGAATTTTGGGGGAAATGGAGGTTGTTTTCAACGTTTTGGTTCAGCTGCGTGTTTTGTGAAGAAAATGCTCAAAACGTCTCTTTAGACGTTTCGAGTGTTTAGTGGAATTTTTTTTTTTGCTTTCCAAAATTCATTATCGAAAACGGGAAAGAGAATGTATTTTCACTGTTTTGAAAAATCAAAAACAGATAACGGTCCGCAAACAACAAAGAAAACAAGCCCTTAATTTTTCTTTCATCTTATCGAACATCGTAACCCAATTGACCTTTTTCATAGAATCTTTAAAAACTTGACAAGAAACTGAACACATTATCTTCGTTCGAAGAATATGATAATGAGCTAGTTATTACGTGAATTATGTAAAATAATGCAATAAGGAAAAAATATAAGTAGTTGTAACAAGTTATCTCCGAACAAATTGTGAAATCAAGAGAATAATAATAATTGTAAAATTAGGAGGGTGATAGTCTGTTTAAAAAGTTGAGGGAGCTATATTATTGAGATGGTAAGGAACGCTGAAAGTGAATTATGATGAAATTTGATTTTCAAACAATGCCTACTTATAGATTGGGATTTTTTTCTAATAAAAATAAATAAAAAAAATTCATTTGAATTGATCAATGGCAGCACCGTCAATGAGATTGATCAATGACAACGTTACCATTGATCAATTAAGGCAGCCTACATGGCTGAAAAAGCCATGCGTGTTATAGATATGCTAGGTGAGCTCGTTGGCTCACTGGCTCATGTGTCAACTCGTGCGAGGTGACGAGCAGCTCGAGCATCCGCAGCTTGCCTCGATCACGAGTGATGAGTCAAGTAGGCGAGCAACTCTCTCCACTTCCCACCCTAGCGGGAATCATTTTACACTCATACATACGGTCATGTATGCCCAATATCTCACACACGACTTTCACATACTTGAAACTGAAAGACAAACGCGTCAAACAACTTTAACATTTTTCTTCAATAGCATTAAAAGTTATATGCAATTTTAACACCACATTAATTGATTCGTTTTATGTGGATCCAAATCTACGAATTTAAATATGTTGGGGACCAATAACCTCATGCTTTATGGTTAAGATCCATAACCACATTGCATGTAAGGCTTGGGAGCTTCATCCTAATTCTCCTTCTTTTTAACATAATTCTCGTGTTTTTATTGGATAAAGATTACAGCTAAATATACTCAAAGGGAACTTTAGAAAGGTAAAGTCAGTATTGCGTATTGATATATTTCAAAAGATTTTATAAAATATATGTAAATTGCATAAAAGAAGAATTCATTTTTGAAAAAAAAAAAAAAAAACCTTGTAACTATGTAAAAAGAATCCACTCTTGATATTGAAGAAAAGAATATAAAAAGGTATTGTCAAAGTTAATTGTTTAAATTTCCCAAAAAATTGTCATATAGCCTTGTAATTCTAACGTGTCTAGTGTATGTACTACTTGGATGGGATATTTGCGTATAGAAAAAGATTACAATGGCTTTCACAAAAATAGGGTGATGTAGTTTATTCAATTCAAATAGGAAGTTTGTTAAGTATGTAAGGTATGAATCGCATTGTCTTGATATGATCATAATATGAAAAAATCGGTAGTCGAGACATAAAAGGAATGTTGATGAGGTAGTACCTTAGTTTGAGTTGCTTCAAATGGGCACACTTGAAACAATTTATTTTGTGGTGCTAATGTCTAACATATTTTCTCTTGTAGAAAAATAATAGAGTTTTGTACCCGCTCCAAATTCAATATTTTGCATAGAGATGTCGAACACTAAGCAAAATGAATAGTGCCCTAATGACTCACGACTAAGTCAATGTCCTTTTCTCTTGAAAACATTAAAATCTATGACAGCCAGTCCTTGCAAGTCATTAAAGTTGATAACAATTTCTAGTCGATTTAGACATTTTGTAATTTTTGACCAAATTTTGAACCATCAAAGCATTTTCGTCAAATTAGGCAAAGTAATGACGGCTACAGTCCATTTATTAAATTTCATTTTGATCACAAAAAAAAAAAAAAAGAAATTGACCAGCAAAGGAGAGGGGTTCTTTTAAAAATGACCTAGTCAAAGTCCCATAATTCCACTTTGACTTTTACAATTGGCAATTATCCCAAAATGACCCATTTGCTGTAAAAAGACAAAAACATCCTTAAGTGACTAAAACAATTACAAAATATGTTAGTGTTAAAAAG